TCATTGGAGTGACACAGATCAACGAAAAACATAAGGTAAGGACATTTTAGATGGTATGGACATGTCTTAAAGAGTATACCATCAACAACAGTAAGGAGGGTAGAGTCAATGATGATTGAGGGCAAGGGGAAGAGTGTACATCCTAGAAAAATATGAGGGGATAATGTGAGGCTTGACATGGAGGGACTTGCTCTTATCAAGGACATGATCTCAAATAGGGTGGTTTGGAGGCGAAACATTATGGTTGATGGATAGTCTCGCCACCAAACGTGTATTGCTTTCTCGATCTTTGCTGTTGATAAAGATTTCATGATCTTATGACACTTTTCTGATTATCTATGTATTGCTTAACTACTCTCTATCACTCCCTCCCTTTTTTTGCAGGTTATTAGATCAGTACACCTATTTAAGAAATATTATTGTTTATGTCTTATTGAACATTGTCACTTAATTTTCCTTTGTTTGCCCGATTTTACAGGTTATCGTTGTGTACATGTCATATGTCATCTTAGTGACACAATTGATCTTCATTCAACGGAGACATGACTGTCGACTTATACCCCTACCCCATTCTAATGAGATTCTCGGGGTTTATTGTTGTTGTTGTTATTGTTGTATTCAATTCTTTAATAGAGGCTTATTCTAACATATAAAACATGAGATGTGATATTTCCGCTTATATTTTTATTTATCAACTTAACAATAAGGTGTTTTGACTTTTATACTTTTCATTTTAATTAAAATGAAAGACTCATAAGGATACATTTTTTTAACTGGATAGATAAAAAACACAAAATAAAAATTGTAATATCCAGTTTCAGGATGTTTCTTATTTTGAGATGATGGACTGTGATTCGATCATGTAAAGACCTTGGGCTTAAAGGGAATAAATTTTAGACCTTATTGTATGTTGATAATGATAGTTAAGTGATCTAAGCCCTTGATTTGTGTTTTAGATCCAAAAAGGGTAAAATGGGAAAATTTGATATTTCAGGACTTCTTGCATGAATTAATGAATTTAGTTTGGTATGTTATAACTTACAAGTAAAAAGTAATTGGATAGATTTGTGGGGCTTGCTGATACCTTCGTGTGCATATAAAGATCACCGCAAATAGAGTTGAAACAAAGAAATTATGGTTGTTTGAAGCTGAAATGAAAATATGGAAAACACGTCACGACGAAGTGGTCGTTGTGTAGCCCAAACCCATGATTTTTATGGTTTTCAACGTATTTAAAGATAAGTTCCACATTTTAGGGCATTTTATCAGTCTCCACCACATCTAGAGCTCCTTAGGAGCAACCCTAGCCTCCCTCTTCATACCTTGAGCTTCTCCCCTCTCCTCTCATCTATTTTTGGTGTTTTGGTGCATTATTGAAGAAGGTGGTGTCATTTGGAGCATCAAGAAGGAGTTTTCCAACCTAGATCTTCTACTTCTAATCATCTTGTGTAACATCCGGATTCCCAGATATATTAGTTTATCATTTAATTTGAGATTTGTGGAGTGACTCGACGAGTTGGTGCCTCAACTCGTCGAGTATAATCGCGACTGGTGACGTGGATTAATGAATGGACTCGACGAGTCTGTGAGGCGACTCGTCGAGTCAGCGCTGCTGAAGGGAACCCTAAACCCTAAGGCCTGCGACCTATTTAAGGGTACTTATAGCCTCCATTTCGTCTCACCAGAACCCTTACACCCTTGAGATAAACCCTAACGTCCATAGTGAGCTAGAGTGGTGAGGATAGCTAATCTTGTGTTCATTTTGGCTCATTTCCTTGAAGAGGAAGGAAGGTTCTTCAAAGATCAAGAAGGGAGGGCCAGTGGATCTGTTTCTTCTTCGTCTCAAGCTTCAGATCGAGGTAAAAAGCTTTTACCTTTCTTGTAGGATGATTAGATCTCAAGTTCTTGAGATTTAAGGCTTGTAACACCTTCTTGATGGGGCTATGGATGCATCAAGCCCCTTTTCGAGTTTAGACTTCAGATCTGGACCTTGTGAGGTCCAGAGAGTCCAAAAGTTTAGAGCCTTAGTGAATCAACCAAGGAGTTTTGGGTTTTGGAAGCATTAATGGAGTAGTGGTGGCATATAGAGCAATATATGCCATGCATGGTCGTCAAGATCAAACCTTTACGTGACTTTTGGGTATTAGGAGGCTAGATCTAGAGGTTGGAGTTGCAGATCTGACCTTAGGAGCCCAAATGAGAAACTCGAATGAGTTAACTCGCCGAGTCTATGAGATGGATCGACGAGTCGGATCGGGTTGCCCCAACGTTCTGAACCCAGTGATAACTCGTTGAGTTGGGGGGTTAACTCGACGAGCTGAGTGAAACCCTAGGAAGAGCTCTGAGGATTCAAGTGGACTCGGCTAGTCACAAGGGTGCACTCGACGAGTCAGGTCAACTTTGACTGTTGTTTCGTATTGACTTCCGTTGACTTTATGGTTGGGTCAAGTATGAGCATTTGAGACAAGAGAGGGGTAAAATGGTCTTTTACCCATTCCAAGGGTTAGAAAGAGTGTAAGAGAACTTTTGATGTATTTGAGTAAGAGTGGGGTATTGAATTGAGATGCTTATCTAATATGTTAGGCGGAGGCTAGATCGAGGATTTCGAGCACGAGATTTTACTAGCTAGCTTACGAGGTGAGTCTTCTCACTATACTTTGCCTAGAGTGGCATCTATGTGTGACCAGAGGGTCTTATGTATTATTTGAGTACTGTGATATTACTGCATTATGCTTGTGTGATTTATGCTATGTGTATTTAGAGTTTACAGAGTTAGGACCGGAGGGTCCCACTGAGACACATTGACCGGAGGGTCTTACAGAGTTATAGCCTCGAGTGGCTAATATGTTGTATGTGGTATTTTGGGGAACTCACTAAGCTTTATGCTTACTGTGTTATGTGTTATGTGTTTTTGGTACTTCCGAGGATCGCGGGAAGGCACCGACATGATTGTACACACGTGTTCGAGATTATGTTGAGGATTCTGGGATTTGACTTTTGTTGTGGATTTATGTTGACTTTGAGACACTTATGATTTTTATGAAGTATAATATACGAGTTTATGTGATTTAAAAATGAAAAATTGGTTTGAAAAATTACGTCGTTACATCTTGTAGACTATTGGGAGGTATAAAGTATCAACCTTGGTGCTTACTTTCTTTGGATCTAGTTTTTTTTAGATAGTTCCTTCTTGTTAGAAAGTTTTGAGATGTTTTTGGTGATAAAGTTTGCATCTTTATTGATTAATAAGGTCCTTTGAGTATTATATGTGTCAGATATGGACTCACAAGTTGTTTTGATGGCATGCACAGGGTTTTGACCCTATTTCCCACCATTCTGACCTAGTTTTGGGAAGGAATGTATTGGACATGCATGCCTATAAATTAAGGATTTTTATGGTTCTTTTGAATGCAAATAAGCCTTCTGTAAAGTTTGAGCAAAGGACTTAACGTATTAACGAATGGAAAAATGGAATTGCCAACGTGACCACGGCCTTGCCACGACGTGGTGGAAATTTCCATCATGTTTTCTAATCAAGCAGACCATCGTGTGGCAATGGTCTTGCCACGACGTAGTGGTCTATTGAGTTGACCATTTTGACTTTTGGTCAAACTTGGGTAGAATTGAGTATTTGACTAAGGATTGGTCTCAATTTGGATCTAGGAAGCTTGGGTTAGCCGTTCAGTTGCTAAGTGTGCTATTGAGATTCTGTTGAGTAGTTCAAGTGAGTCTTCTCGCTATATTATATAGGATGCTAGTTGTCTTTGTGACTATTGTATGAAAGACCAGGATCTAACCCCTAACAATTGTATGAAAGATTAGGATCTGACCACTGACAATGGTATGAAAGATCAAGATTTGGCCCCTGACAAATGCATGAAAGACCAAGATCTGGCCCCTGACACTTGTATGTAAGACTAGACTTTTGGCCATTGACAATGCATGAAAAGACCATGATCTGGCCCATGGTAGGAAGTGATTATAAGACTATGATTTGACCTATATCATTCAGCTGGGGTTGAAATAGGCCCGTTATATTATGTATGATATGTGGTATCTTGGGAAGCTCACAAAGCTTTGTGCTTACAGTTTTATGTTTAAACGTTATAGGTTTTCTTATATCAAATGAAGGACATGACATGATTGCATCACATCCATCAGAGATTGCCGCACTTAATAACTCTTATGTCGATATTATGATAAATGTTTTGAATCAAATGGTTTTATTTAGATATTTGAAGTTGTAATTGGAACAAATGCTTTTATTTTTAAATGAAAATTTTGGTTTGAAATTTGGGACGTTACAAAAATATCATTTAACATAAAATTTTACAAGATAAAATTACAAGATTCGTCTCTGGTTCAAGAGTCAAATTGTGCGTTTAGTCTATATTTTAAAAAATTAACCCGAATCGTCCTTTATATGTTTAAAAGTTGCATGTCCGTCCTTGGATTGGTTAACCATACCTAAAAAGACTATTTTATCCTTATCTATTTTTTATTATTATTAACAATTAAAAAAACAAATGGGACCCACTATTAAAAACCCATCACATACACACTACCAACTGCTTTGACCCCTTTCTCTTCTTCTCTTATCTGTCTAAAACCTACCACCAAACCCACCACCTACCACGACAGCTCCATCTGAAACCACCGACCACTGAAAACCACGGGCCACTGCCGCTCCATATCTACATTACCCTCATAACTTTTGCCGCCACTCTAATGGAAACCACTAAACTCCGATTGGTCGAGAAGATGAACATCGTGGCTGTTTTCTCTCTCTCTCTCTCTCCCTCTCTCTCTCTCTTTCTATTTCTTTCTTTCTTTCTATCTCCCCCTCTCTCTCTCTCTCTCTCTCTCTCTCTTACTCAGCTCCAACAGACACTACACACCATTGTCACCTCCCAAACTCTTTCTATGATCCACGATCGTTTGTCTCCATCATTTACCATCTAAAGTCGTCGAAGGATATAGCCTCGAGTTAGAGTGTAAGTATGGACGGTAAGGTAGAAGGCGAGGGATTGGGTGGGTGTGGGGGGGGGGGGAGACAACTAGAGTTGCAGGTTTCATGGCAATGGAAGTATATGGTGGTAAAAAAGTTGTTTCTCTACTACCCTGTCACCGGAGTGCAAATCTACTACTCTCTCGTCAGAAAAACAAGAGTTGGCTAGGGTTTGGTGCAATGATGTCGGAGAAGACAAAATAGAGGTGTAGTGGTGTGCTAATCTTTTTGGTGGGTCTTCACCATCGTAGGTGTGCATATCTTTTCGACGAGTCTTTAAATTCCAACTTCAAAGAGGTGTGGTGATATTAAAGGTGGGGTCATAATTTAATTAATATTTTTTTTATAATTAAAAATAATAAAAAAACTTAAAAATATATGAAATAGTAATAGAAAATGATAATACAATCATTTCATGTGTGTCAAAGACGAAGAATGTAACCTTTTACGATATAAGAAACAATATGAGTTAAAATTTTAAAATAAAAACTAAACGCATAATTGCTTCGTATAATTTACTAATATTATAATTTTATTACTAAATAAAATATAAACTGTTTTTACATTTCTTACATGAAAATTGAAAATTGTATTAGGGGCGAGGCTAAATATCGCATATTCGAATCAAGAAAAAGGATGGTAAAAAGGTTGTTTCTCTACCACCCTCTCACCGGAGTGTAGATCTACTACCCTCTCGTCGGAAAAACAAGAGTTGGCTAGGGTTTGGTGCAATGATGGCGTAGAAAATAGAAGAGAGGTGTAGTGGTGTGCTAATCTTTCTGGTGGGTCTTCAGCATCGTAGGTGTGCATATCTTTTCGACGAGTCTTTAAATTCCAGCTTCAAAGAGGTGTGGTGATATTAGAGGTGGGGTCATAATTTAATTAATATTTTTATAATTAAAAATAATAAAAAACTTAAAAATATATGAAATAGAAATAGAAAAGGATAATACAATTATTTCATGTTCGTAAAAAACGAAGCGTATAACTTTTATGATATAAGAACAATATAAACCAATATTATAATTTTATTATTACAAATAAAATATAAACTGTTTTTACATTTCTTACATGAAAATTGAAAATCGTACAAGGGGCGAGGCTAAATATCGCATATTCGAATCAAGAAAAAGGGTCAATGTCAAAAGCCACATTTGAAAACCACCGAGAGATAAAAAAAGCCCTCTTTTGATAGACCTTCATACACAACATCGCCGATCGTTGCGGTGGGACGCCACCACCCACCACCGGCTTCTGTTAACCTGGGGATTCGAACTCATACCATCACCATTTCTCTCTCTTTGTCTCCATATATCAGTAAGCATCATCTTTCTCTATCTCTGTCTATAAATCTCAATATTTCAATGTATCAACGCATATGAAATTAGGTGTGGGTTTTGCTTTCAAGTAAACTCCAATTCACACATGGGGCGTAAGAAGCGAAACGTCGCTACTCGCTCCAAGGCGGCGACACCTGCTGATAATCCTCACCAGCTGCAGCTTTCCGTCGGTACTAATGACCACGATGGTGATGGTGATGTTAGCTCACTCACTACGGAACACAAATTGAGTGTGAAATCGTCGATTGTTCATGAGATACAGCCGAACCTAGAAAACGAAGTCTCGTTAGCGATTGAATCAGATGGTTACTCTGCTGTGAAAGTCGAGTGCGAGAAAGCTCTAAATGCGCTTCGACGTGGGAATCATACGAAAGCCCTGAGGTTGATGAAGGAGATGTGTGCGAAACATGAGAACAAGGCTTACTCGGCGTTGATTCATCGAGTTCAAGGGACTGTCTGTGTTAAAGTTGCTTCCATTATAGATGATCCCAATGCTAAGCAGCGGCATTTGAAAAACGCAATCGAGTCCGCTAAGAAGGCAGTGATACTATCACCAAATTCCGCAGAGTTTGCACATTTTTATGCAAATCTGCTGTATGAAACAGCTAATGACGGAAAGGATTACGAGGACTCGGTGCATGAGTGTGAGCGTGCTTTATCTATCAAGAATCCAATAGATCCTGGGAAGGAGAGCTTGCAGGATGAGAGCCAGCAGAAGATCTCCTCAGCAGATGCAAGGATCGGGCATGTCCAGAATGAGCTTCGTGCATTACTTCAGAAGGCCAATCTTGGTACTATTTCAAGTTGGATGAAGAATCTAGGGAATGGGGAGGAGAAATTTAGGATTATTCCTATCAGGAGGGCTCCCGATGACCCCATGGATGTAAGAGTAGTTCAAGCCAGAAGACCAAATGACATCAAGAAAGCAAGTAAGACAGATGAAGAACGAAAGAAGGAGATTGAGGTTAAAGTGGCTGCAGCAAGGCTGTTGCAGCAGAAACAGGAGTTGTCCCTAACCCAAACAGAAGGGGATAAAGCTTCAGAACCTTCTTCAGGGCCTGGTCAACGAATTGAACGTAGGAAGAACGGAAAGGTGAGGAAGAATGCATCTAATGCTGAGAGAAAAGAATCTATTCTCCCTTTTTGGAAGTCCATGAGTGTGGATTTGAAAAAAAATCTGTTTAAGATAAAGATATCGGATATCAAGGCCCATTTTAGATCACTAAAAGATGGGTTGGCATATGAAATCATTTCTGAAGCTTTATCCTTTGGTGTGAGTAATAATGATTGGAAATTTTGGATGTGTTGTCGATGCAGTGAGAAATTTTCAGATCCTGAGTCACACAAACAGCACATTATACACGACCATGTGGACAGTTTACCCCCAAAATTACAGGCAGTGTTGCCTCCCAATGTTGATAGTGAATGGTCAGAAATGCTTCTTACCTTTCCTTGGAAACCATTAGATGTGAATGCTTCAGTCAGAATGATTGAATTGCAACCAAATTTTGACTGTGTCCCAATAGAATGGGATGAAGATGAAGTTCACAAGGGAGATTTCAACCCTAACAGTTGGCCTTCATCTAATGACATCGAGCGAACAAAGCTTCTTGAAAAAATAAAATCTTTATTCCATTTGCTTATCAAACATAAATGCCTTGCAGCTAGTCATCTTACTAAAGTTATACAGTTTGCAATTGAAGAGTTACACCCTCAGCTTCTTAACTGCAATGTGGAGCAATCACCCATTTGTATATGCTTCCTTGGAGCTATAGAGCTTAAAAAAGTGCTTGTATTTCTTCAAGAACTTTCTAATTCATGTGGGGTAGGTAGGTATTCAGAGAAAGGTAATGCCATGGAAGAGTTACACTTGCAGAGTGTCACACAAGGAATTGGAATGGCTGAAAGAATAGTTTTCAATGAAGACAGTTCAACTCTCTTGTTGGATGAGAACAGGTTATCACATTATGATGATGATGATGATGATGATGATGATGACGATGATGATTCTTTTTTGTCCTGGATATTTTCGGGTCCCACAAGTCGCGAACAGTTGACACATTGGACACGAGGTAGAGAGGAGAAGGTGAATCAAGGAACAGAGATTGTACAGATGCTTGGTAAGGAATTGTCCCATTTGCAAAGCTTATGTGATAGAAAGTTAGAGCATATAAACTATGAAGAATCATTACAGTTAGTTGAAGATCTTTGCCTACAAGAAGGCAAGAGAAGAGAGAATCCTACAGAATTTGTTTGTCAAAGTTACGAGTCTGTATTGAGGAAACGAAAAGACGAGCTTGTTGACCATGACAATGAAGTCAACTGTGTTAACAGATTTGAAGTAGAAGCCTTGACTAACATTCTAAAAGAAGCAGAATCTTTGAATGTTTATGGTGGTTTTAATGTGAGTATGAGTTCTCATGTATATGACTTGGAATCCGGTGAAGATAATTGGAGGGTGAATGACTATCTCCATCAGTTAGATTCTTGCATAGAAGTTGCAATCCAGAAACAAAAAGAACAGCTGTCTGTCGAGGTTAGTTACATTTATAAAAAAGATTTTGTTTTTCACATTAAAAAAAAGATTAAAATCCTTTTTCTTTCCACTTCATCTCACTTTCTCAGAAATGCAGCTTAGCAAAATCGATGCAAGAATCATGCGAAATGTGAGTGGAATGCAGCAGCTGGAAGCAAAGTTAGGTCCTTTATGTGGTCATGATTTTGGACTCATAGTTGTGCCTCTTGTAAAGTCATATTTACGGGTTGGTAGACAAATTTCCTATTGTTATTACCCATGCTTCTTTTAAGTATGAATGTGTTTTTCATGTTTTGTTTAGGCACATATAGAGAATTTAGCAGAAAAAGATGCAACAGAGAAGTCGGATGCTGCTAGAGAAGCTTTCTTGGCTGAACTTGCTTTAGATTCTAAAAAGGGGACAAAGCAAATTAATAAAAGAAAGAACAAGGAATACAGAAAGATGAAGGATGCAAAGGTTTGAATTAACTTTTTTTGTAATCATTTTTTTTGTAGATTGTGTTGAAAAATATTGTTGCATTTGCAGGCTACAAGCACTTGTGACAGTGAAAGTGTTGATGAAGATGGTGTTGATATGAATAAACATGAAGATGAAGCTATGAGAAGAAAAATTGAGCTTGAAGCTGAAGAAAGGAAGCTTGAAGAAACATTGGAATATCAAAGAAGAATTGAAGATGAAGCTAAACAAAAACATCTTGCAGAACAACAACATAAAAGTAACTCAAGAGTACAAGTTTTTGATGTTTTCAAGAATCAAACAAATGGACATGTGGAAGATGGTTCTAGAAAGACTAAAGCAGAAGATGATGATGAAAAAAGATTCCAAGCTGACCTGTCAAAAGCCGTCCGCCAAAGCCTTGGTATTTATTTATCTATCTGCTATAATAAATATATTTTTTTTTTTTGCTGACATGTCCAAATTGCTATTTTTTTTTTGAAATATTCCAGATGTGTTTCATTCACACTATGAAGGTGGAGAAGAAGACTCGTGTGTGACATCTATTGAAGTTGTTGAAGACAATGTATATGGTACAGGCTTGAAGAATGAAGTTGGTGAATACAACTGCTTTTTAAATGTTATTATACAGGTTATTTTATAATAATAAAAAAAAGATTTAGTTCTACAAATCTCTTCTCACATATCAATTCTAATTTAAAAAAAAAAAAAATTCCTTTTATAATTTTACAGTCTTTATGGCATTTGAGACGTTTTCGCGAGGAGTTTTTGAGCACGTCCACGTCAGCACATGTCCATGTTGGCGATCCGTGTGTGACATGCGCATTACATGACATATTTAAAGCTTTAAACACAGCTTCTACAGAGTCAAAATCTCAAGCTGTTGCTCCTACTGCTCTCAGAATCGCTCTCAGCAACTTGTATCCACACAGTAGTTTTTTTCAAGAGGTAAACTATTTACTAAACATAGGTTATATATTTGTTAAGTGTTATTATTAAATAAATTATAAGATTATTTGATTATGTGATTTAGGCACAAATGAATGATGCTTCTGAAGTATTGGGAGTGATATTCGACTGTTTACATCAATCGTTCATATCATCTGGTTCTAGTGTTATTTCTGATATTGAGGAAAAGGAAAACAGTGGAATGGGAATGGGGGAATGGGAGTGTGAAAATAAGGGAAGGTGTACAGCACATTCACTTTTTGGAATGGATATTTTTGAAAGGATGAATTGTTATAATTGTGGATTGGAAACAAGACGTTTGAAATACACCTCTTTCTTCCATCAGATCAATGCCAATTCCCTTCGCACCATGAAGGTATATTATATACCTAACCCAACCCTACCCTACCCTACCCTTTACTTACTTTTTCATGCATAAAATTTATTTATATATTATTTTATTTATTTAGGTTATGTGTCCAGAGAGCTGTTTGGATGAGCTGTTGAATCTTGTTGAAATGAATCACCAATTAGGTTGTGATCCTGAGGATGGTGGCTGTGGGAAGCTTAACTACATTCATCATATTCTTTCTACTCCTCCTCACATTTTCACAACAGGTATTTTTTTTTTTTCTTGAAACTTGTTTTTATGAATTTTGTTAAACAGTTTTATTTTGTTTTTGTAGTGCTTGGATGGCAGAATACTTGTGAAAGTGTTGAAGATATAAAGGGGACATTGGCAGCCTTATCCACAGAAATTGATTTAAGTGTTCTTTATCGTGGCCTTGACCCCAACAACAGGCGCATCCTTGTATCAGTGGTACACCTCCCTCATCTCTTTTTATAAATTATAAATTATAATTAAAAAAATCTTTTTTTTATTTTTTATCTAATTATTGTTGTTCTTTTAAGGTATGCTATTATGGGCAACATTATCATTGTTTTGCATACAGCCATGCTCATCAACGATGGGTCATGTATGATGACAAAACTGTCAAGGTATGTATATATATATATATATATAATATGTATGTGTTTTACAATCATTTATGGAATGAGACTTTCTTTCAAACATGTTTGTTATGTACAACTAGAAAAGTAAATGAAATTAAACCTTGGTAAATAAAGTAAAAAGAATGTAATTTATTTTATTTATGTAATTATTTATGATGTTGGTTGAAATGAAAATAGTATGTGATTGATGTTGCTTGTAACAGGTAATTGGAAGATGGGAGGATGTGGTTTCAATGTGTGAAAAAGGGCATTTGCAACCTCAGGTTCTCTTTTATGAAGCCGTAAATTAGTTTCTTTTTTTTATATATAATATATAATATATAATATAGTTGCGGAAGCTGTGTATGATTATTATTATATATATATATATATAAGGAAATTTTGTCCTAGAGTTGGTAATTTTTGTTTCGAGGTAAATTAGTCTAGTCTTACTCTTCTAGTTCTAGTTCTATGAGTGTATGACCTTTGTATTTTTGGGTTATAATTACATTACATTACATTTGCCCTATAAATAAAAAACCCCCAAAACTGGAAAATGGGCTTTTACCTATCCATGTTATGTTTTTGTAGTGACTATGAGTCCATCCAATATTTAATTTATTTTGATCAAGTCGTTTGTTTATTTTATTTGGTGGGTGTATCTACATTACTCTCTAGAGTAGTAACACCATAGTTTTAACTTAAGTCTAGCTGTTACATCCATCCATCCATCCATCCAATTTAACATTTCTATTATTACTAAATACCAAATCTACTCTATTTCTATAACATGAGTGTGAGTGTTACCAAATCACCACGCTTTTATTCAATTAATGTCTCTACATGTAAAGTATGAAATGCTATGTATCTCTAAAATGATAATGTTAACAGTATATTAATTGAGAAAAAAAAAGAAAAAAAAAGTTTAGCTATTATGGCTTTGAAAAAATGGCAAACCTCACGCAATCGCTATTCCTTACTTGACTGGGTCTAATAAACTAGCCGAGTCATTTGAGAGGAAACAAACTTGGCTAAGGTTTCACACATGACCCACCCTCAACTTCTATCAAGCTCCATCATTTAAGGTGTAAATCACACAACACTAGTTATATGATTTGTCATACTATAAAGCCTTAATATATCATATATTTTTTCAATGGGCCATGAGATATTTACTATTTTCTATTTTTTTTTCCCAATAATTCCCTTTCAAGCTTAGTCAGTTAGTTGTGGTCTTCCACATTTTACCTATGGTATGGATAAATGCCTTGATTATTTAATGTTTAAAACATTCTTGCCATAATTAAAAGCCGAGTACTCTACCGTAGAGTTAACAATGTAGATAGAAAATGACAATCAAAATAAAAAATGATGAAAAAGTAAAATGTATAGAATTATACACTTTTTTTACTAGTATGTGTCAAAAGGCGTCTGTATAATTCCCAAAAAAAAAATGATAATAATCAACAGATTTTATCGAGATTTTTTTTACTCAAGAGGTTGATCGCAAGATCTCGAATCAACATATTGGTCTTATGATATATCATATATATCAGTATCGAGGATGATACCAAAGCTTTATATTTGTTTATAAACTTTCGTGGTAGATGGGCAAACTGAGGTATGCCTCAAAATAAAACTTTATTTATGCATAAAGATATGTCTCATTTAGAGGAGAGAGCGGTTTATGAAGATCCCAACAAAAAGTACGTCAATATTTTTTTATAAACATAAAAAAAAATGAAAGAAATTTCCTTAATATTGGATTTTTTGTTTTTCAATATTTTTTTTGTTAGGACCTACCAAAAACCAATTCGGCAGCGAATAGTGAACTTTGTCAGTGGTTTATTGCGAAATTAATTGTTTTTTGTGTAAAAAAGGTAAAATAAAGGTTATTTAATGGCAAAACAAAAACTATAATTACTAAATTAATGTTTTTCTCATATTATTTTTGTCAAAATTAGCTTCTGTTCAAGATTGATATAATTCAACTGTTTAGATCATACAATCTCTCTCTCTATATTTCTGTTTCAATTTTGTTAAAAACGTTTTGCTTGTTTGGAAACAAAGCATTTTTCATACCAAAATCCTTTTCACCTTATATTATTGTTCCAAAATAATTAATTATATATTTTATAAAATTTTATATAAATATAAATAATATATATAACTGAAAATATAAAGTACCATAACATTTTTGTTTATTCATAGATATATTATTACCATATGTTTTAATTATTTTGGGGTTGTATTGTAAAATGGGAAGAATTAAACAAGAGTGGACATGTAAGTTGTAACTTGGTATCCATTTCAAGCTTTCATCAGTTGTAAAGCTCATATGGGGTTGATGTTAAATGACCATTATCACCATGTCATAGCATCGCCTGACACCTGTGGCCTGAGTGTTAGGTAAGGATAAAAATGAATAAGGTCATTGTATGAGATTTCACTCCCCTTGTACTTAGATTATACGCCCTCATATGTATATGTGTCTGCAATTTATCTATATGCTCTTATTTATATTATACAACTTTTATAATATAAATCAACTGAAAATATATTTATCATTTAATATTCAATAAAATAATTCATCATATAAAAATAGTTCTGATTTGTTTCCACCTAATTATATAGATCAACGTCTTTATATAATCAACTAGCTCGTTTCTTATTTCATAAAACATCTATCTAGAAAACATATAGATCAACGTTATTATATATTTTTATTTGGTTTCCAAAAGTAGCTGAAACTAGTCAGTTTTGACAAACATAATTTATACTTAATCTGGATGGTTTATGATTTATGGAAAAAATATAAATTAAAGCTATGTACTTGGTTTTTATTTATATACCATATTGCAAAATCATTATTTAAGTATCTATGTTATAAATCTATAATTAAATAAAAAACCTGATCACCTATCTTTTAATAACCGTGTCACTTATTTACTTAACATAGTTTATAATTTAATTAAAAACTTATAACATAAACAACAAAACATTCATCTTAACAAAACTTTCCAAAAATAAATTTAGTTGAAAGCAAAAAAAAAAAAAAAAAAAAAAAAAAAAAATCATGCAATTTGTCCTATTATTTTGTGACTACATAGTACCTGACCTATTTATTGCTGAGTAAAAGAATTATTTTTTTCTGTCATCATATAATTGTACATTATGTATTAAATAAAAAGTTCTATATAAAATTTTCGTAAATAATATATTTAAACAAATTTCAAAATTGTGGTACTCCTCTATATTTAAGTTCCATGCATCTACTCGACTTATGACCAAACATCAACCGTTGACACAATTTTTGCTAACCACTTCACTCAACAAACCGAACCAAAATGACCCTCAAGGGTGCGACCACCCAAGCATGTGCCGCCTGCAAATACCAACGCAAGCGGTGCACCCCTGACTGCACCCTTGCACCACACTTCCGACCCGAACACCCACTGGTCTTTAAAAACGCACACAAGCTTTTTGGTGTAAAGAACATCTTAAGAATCCTCCAACAAATCCAACCACACCACAAAACCGAAGCCATGCGGTCCATAATCTATGAAGCTAACATGCGAGACCAGTTCCCCGTTTACGGTTGCCTCACTGCAATCTATGACCTTCAGTACCAAATAAGACAAGCAGAGGAGGAGCTCCATGATGTACTCGCTCTACTTGCCTTTTGTAAACAGTGTCATCAAAAGCAACATGCGACAAACTTGTCCCATGTTGTATCCCATGATTCTTTACAACTTGGCATGAATGTAGTGCAACCAGATAATGCACCACTCACATATTGTCGACACACTGCAGCTCTTGCTCATGAAATCATACACGACAATGAGGAAATGTTCCCGGTCTTTGATAATATTGAAAACTGCAGTCATACATAGGTTCGGAGGAGTAAATAAATCGACAATAACGACCATAAAAGTGATGACTTTTACGAAGAATGTATGTATATGCACGTTTTAATGGGTTTTTGGTGATTGTCTACATATGCATGTATGTATATGCCATATGTAATTTGGGGTTCGTTTAAATATTGATTCAAATCTTGTTTAAGATAACGTTAAAGTTTTGTACATATATGATTTATATTTTTCTATAAACTATTAGTGTCCTATACTGATCCGCTTCTATATATATATATATATATATATATATATATATATATATATATATATATATATATATATATGTTATGTTGAAGTCTATATTTTTACAGTGACATTTTTAATAGAAGATATAGGATTTCACATATTAAATACCCAACTAACATGGTGTCAAAGCTAACTTTTAGCATCTGGATATTTAAAATCTTTTTTGTATTTTATGACTAGAGTTGTTATAGTTTTTAAAAATCAAAATACACAATCTTATTTTATGTTCATACAAGACATAATCTTATTTTATGTTTTATTAAATCCATTTATGTTTATTAAATCAATTGATTAACCAAATAAAAAATCTAACATCTAAATATAAAATAAAATTTTATTAAATATAGGGATCAAATGTGATAAAGTTTGAAAAAAGATTAATTAAAGAATAATAAGTGTTTGGAGAAACCTCTCAACAAAGTTTTTGTTCTCTTTCCAAAAACTTATCGAATGTAAATAAAGATGCTCTAATGTTGATTAAGAGATATATTGTTATTGGTAAAATCAAATTTAACTTCTTAAACTCTAACCATAATCGTTATAAATGCAAATTAGAAAGAAACTTCTTTCATGCGAGGTCATAGACTATATGGATCATATGAAGGTATAGACACATTGTTGTCTTTTACACCCTCTTCCCGAGTTTCATTTAAAAGAAAGAAAAGAAAAGAAGAGAAATATGGAGAGAAAAGAAAGGAAAAGAAAAGAAAGTAAAATGTATTTTTCTGTTCCAGAGTTTAAGAGAAAGGAAAGAAAAATTATTTTTCTTTGTGTTCCTGAGTTGGAAGGAAAAGAAATAAAAATTAAAAGTGGACAATTATACCCTTGTCAGAGAAGCAGCGGTTTTTTTTTCCTGTAATGTTGACGGGGGTAGTTTGGTAATTATAGGGATTTTTTTGATGAGTGATTGTCTTCTCTCCAAATCTCTCCGATTTGGGAGGAAGATTAGGAGAGAAAAGAATGCTGTGATTTTCTTTCTTTCTTCCCAAATCACTCCAAAAAATAAACTCGGGAACACTCTTGACTCCTTCTTTCTCTCCTATTCTCTTCTTTTCTCTCCGCTTCCCTCGTTAATTTCGACTCAGAAACAGGGTGTTAGGCGCAGAGTATTTTGATTTTTGAGGAGCAATATTTTTGAAGCAATGTTATTGGTTGCTAATAGAAATAGTAGAAGTAGAATTAATTGGACTGGTTACAAAATTCAGTGTTTCACGACTCTTTGTAATTGTTTTCGTTTCTAGCTACTCGTTATAATAATAATAAAAATAATAATAATAATAATAATAATAATAATAATAATAATAAAAAAACTTCTTTAAAAAAAATAATACGTATTTTGCGTTTTGCCTCCAATTCCGGCGATTGTAGGATGAAAGACGAGAGACCACGGGACAACCCTTTTATGATTGACGCCAAGCCACTCGGTACGATTAACGACATTCAACTGATCGGAGGCGGAGATGGCCGTCGACTGGTGACTCAACTCTCAAGGCAGAGGTCGGAGGATACAGTCCTCCTCCTGTCTATGCAGAGGCGGAATGAGAGAATGGTTCAACCAATTGGCTAGGTAATTAGCAACTACGCATTTCAGTATGCTAATTCAGAATGTTCTAGAAAATGTACTAGGCCATATACTTAGTCTCGATGAAAATGAAGAACATTCTTCCATTGTTGAAGAAACGTCGCTGTGTCGGGAAATTACCAGCACAATATCTCCCAAATCCGCACCTAGGGTTTCTCTGTTTATGTTTATTAATTTGTCAGCCTTCGTTAGTCTTATGCACTAGAATCTAGGCGAGGCTGTGCTTGAGATTGCTGCTTTTGCACAACTTAGAACGTTGTGCTTGTTAATCGTGGACTTGAGATCAAAAAAAGGGTAATCTGGATGCAATCAAGTGATCATTGCTAATTAAAGAATAATATATCTAATCAGACATTCATCTGTTTTTACTTTTAATGTTAAACTCAAGAACTACTGGGACGTTTCATTGTTCAAATGTCATTGCATGGAATCATTGATATCCTCTTCATCTTCATTCTCTTGCTTCTTCTTCATCATTCTTCTCCATCTCCAATTTGCACCAACTCAAGTCTGATTCTACTTCTCTCTTTATATCTATCTGTTTATGTTCATCTTAAGGTTTAATTTCTTTAATCTGTGTTGTTCTGGTTTTGGTAAACAGGCAGATTGAAGCCATGTTCTGATAATGGAACCAACTGTTGGGACTCAAATGACCTTCAACCTCCTAAAGGTCTATGTCTTGAAAAACTTGGAAACAGTTCCTATGTCCACATGGCTCCACACCCTGATGGCTCAAACCGAGTTTTTGTGTGCAACCAACAAGGTAAGATATGGTTAGCCATGGTTCCTGAAGTGAATGGTGGTTCCACTTTCACCCAAAGTTTACTGATAGACGAATCAGACCCTTTTCTTGATTTAAGTGATCAAGTGCAATTCGCAACAGAAATGGGACTCATGAGCATGGCATTCCATCCAAACTTCACCACTAATGGCAGATTCTTTGTTGCTTATAACTGTGATAAGTTTCAACAACCTGGATGTGAAGGCAGATGTTCATGTAATACAGATGTAAATTGTGATCCTTCAAAAGTCACATCTCTTCAAGAAACTTCCCCTTGCCAGTTTCACATTGTAGTTTCAGAGTTCACTACAAATGGCACCACCGCTTCTTCAAAACTTTCATGGGTAAGTAAGTAAACTTGATTTGTGTGTTTTTGTAAATATAGCCACACTTTGACTTTTAAAAAGTCAAATCTTTTGTACAGAAGGGGCGTGTGAATTCAGTTGAGGTGAGGAGGATTTTCACAATGGGGCTTCCATTTGAAGCATATCATGCTGGGCAGATTCTGTTTGGCCCTGATGATGGATTTTTGTATTTCATGATTGGTGATGCTTCACATGATAATGATCCATACAATTTTGCACAAAACAAAAAATCATTACTTGGAAAGATACTGAGGCTCGACATTGATATCATACCAAGTAAAAAGCACATCTTGATTATCAATTTATCTCCACAAACAAACTTTTTAATATTCAAATCTGAAAAGGGTATATTTGTCATGTTTCAGGTGAAGAAGAAATAAGCAGGCTTGGTTTATGGGGAAACTATTCAATACCAAAAGACAATCCATACACTACCACAGATAAAGAACTTGGGCCTGAAATTTGGGCCATGGGTTTTAGTAACCCGTGGAGGTGCAGTTTTGATTCAGAAAGAGCTTCTGTTTTCATATGTGGAGACATTGGGAAGGTAAATTTTTTATAAACATATAAATTAACACCAACTTATATAAAGATTATAATTTTTATAGAATCAATACGAAGAGATTGATGTAATCAAGAAAGGTGGGAATTACGGGTGGCGTGTTTACGAGGGTCCGGATCCAGTACATCTACCCTATGCTCCTGGAGGGTACACCCCACCAAGCTCCATAACTCCTATATTTCCTGTAGCAGGATATGGTCATGATAGTGTTGATACAAAGAAAGGTCCTGCTTCAATTATGGCTGGCTATATTTACCGTTCTGCCACTGATCCATGCTTGTATGGCTGGTTAGTAATACTACTTGGTTGAATAAAGATAGGGATAGTTAGGTAATTTCATATATTTTTTTTTAAGTTGTTAACAATCATATGGAAACTTTTGCAGGTATATATACTCGGATTTGTATAATTATGCTATATGGGCAGCCATTGAAACGGCTAAAAACAGTGATAATTTCAAGAGTTTTAGTGTTGCTTTTGGGTGTGCCCATGACTCACCCATGCAATGTGGGTTCAAGCCAGGGGTGCACAAGGTTCCTGATTTGGGGTATGTGGTGTCATTTAGTGAAGATAATAATAAAGATGTGTATCTGTTGACAACCAGTGGTGTGTATAGAGTTGCAGCCCCGAGTCGATGTGGCTACCCTTGCTCCAAGGAAAAATATTCAAATTTGACGAAAATGCCCTCATCTGGAACCTCAGATTTAGTACCATCTTTCGTCTCTCTTATGGTGTTTGTTTTTTTATTGATTTCTTGATGGAAAACAAGATATTTTGTTTAATTTATGCAAATATGTTATTGTTACTCCGTGGACGTGTGCCAGATTGATCTTTAATCGGAAAGCATAAACCGTATTTTAGTCATTGTGGTTTTTTATTTAACAAATTAGTTACTTGGTTTGACTGCAAATGGTCATCAATTATTCATTGAATCATTGGTGGAGGCATATCATTTAAATTATAAAATACTAGTGCTAAACAAGTGGAATGAAATTTGATAAAAACCACACAATTAAATTTTTGCTAGTAACAAATGGCATCTCTAAATCGAAGATAACAACTCAAAATCTTGTGTCATGTGATTTAAGAAACTACGAAATAACCAAAAAACGAAGATGTCATGTGAGATTAAGTGGGAAGTTCCTTGGTGTATGCTTTTTGCTGTTTGGGCGGCTGAGTCAACAACTGAGTTGAATAGTCGGTTGGACATCCGGAGGTCGTCGTTTGAAGTGAAATGGCTACGAATCAACATTGTTAAAACAAAGTATCTTTAGTGTAATTTTAGGGGGGAGACAAAATGAGGAAGGAGTACACATAAGCATTAGGGAGCAAGCTCTTTCCCTTGTGGAAAACTTCAAGTTGTTGGGGTCTATGATCTACAAAGGAGGGGTATAGAGGTAGATGTCACCCATCGTATAATGACAGGTTGGTTAAAGTGGACGACGACATCAGAAGGTGTTTTGACAAGAAGGTTCCGTTGAAACTGAAAGTGAAGTTTTATAGAGTAACTATTAGGCTTGCGATGATGTATGGACCTGAATGTTGGACACACAAGAAGAAGAATAAGAGGAAAATGGAAGTAGCAAAAATGAGGATGTTGAGGTGGACTTCAGATAGAACTTTGTTGGATATGATACCAAATGTGACTATAAAAGATTCATTGAGGGAAGGATGATTGGGATGGTATGGACATGTGTAGAGGAGGCTACCGACTTCGACTGTGAGAATGTTAGATCAATGTCGATTGATGGTAAGAGGAAGAAAGAACATCCCATAAGGAAGTGTGAGTATAATGTAAGGCAAGACATAAATGAACTTGCTTTTTTCAATGACACAACCTTAGATACGAGTGTGTGGAGTCTAAATACCAAGGTCCATGAGTATCCTAGTCACCTTATATGTTAATAGATTTTGTTTTTTGATCTTTATTGTTTTTACCTACTTCGTACTTATATGCTTGTATTGAGTTTTGTTCCTATGTATGTTTTGTTGTTCACATCAACTTACTCTTCTGTTAAGTACCTATAAGGTTCATATGCTTCGACCATGATTTATTTTTTATTTTTTATTTTGCTCATTGACTTATTCTTCCCATGTTTACCTCATTTTCTAGGTCATCGTTTTTGCTCTTGTCGAAAGGTCTTCTATGTGATGCAGTCGCTCTACCCCTAATGGAGACACAACTGTCAACATACACCTCTTCTAGCCTTTTAATGGGATCCTCGGGATCCGTTGTTGTTGAAATAACCAAAAAACAAAATTATATTTGTTTGTAAATTTCAAAATGCCAAACAAGAGTCTAAAGAATTTTGAAGCGTTGCTTTAGTTGGAAGATTTGAATTCTTGATAAATTTTATACGTGTTAGATTCTTAAAAAAACCAGGTCTATTATTTGAATGTAACTGAAAATACTAAATTCTGCCCACTTTATAGAAGGAATGCTTTTACGTCAATCTATTGAAATAGTTGGACTTTAAAAATGGTGCATTTTGATACCTTTTATGCAACATTGAAATAATGAAACTAGGTGGATATGACTCCACGAATTTGTCCTACGATTGTCATGAACACTTTTACGCATGTTTGTGTTATATTTGATCTGTTTTAAGTGTCAACAAATTATATCTAATGACTAAGCTAAATCATAAGAGAAACATAATATTATATATTTTATTGTCCTAACTAAGATTTTTAATCCATAGTTTTGCTTGGGTTAAAGTTCATAGGATCAAGACTTCATATATGTCCCATACATAGATCATACTAGAATATCCATCACTACATAAGTAGATCTTTATTTTTAAAAGCATTGATAATTTTTATGATTTGAGAGGTCAAATATAAGAACTAGCGGTAACAAATATAATGACCTTTAAATTACACTTATACATCGACCATTTAAGTTAATATTCAAGTAAGTAGAAAATGTAAAGTATAGACAAACGAATTGGATGATTTAGAGAGATAAAATGGTATAATACTATACTTAATTATATTCATTCTCTTAAATTCATTTTGTTTCAAAATAAGAGGTTATTTTTTTATGAATGATGATACAATTTTTAACATTAATTATAATTATCACACTAAAAAAAGTTAGTTTTTTTTTTTTTTTTGTTTTTTTTTTTTTTTTTTTTTTTTTTCACTCAACACATCGAGACTCTTTGACCTAACAGTAAAAACATTCGTTTGAACTTTGAACTTGTTAGCCAACTCACAGAAAAAGAAAAAACGAAGCAAGATTTCACGCGTAAAACGCTGTCGTTCTCATGTTCAACCCCCTCTCGTTCTCCGTACTCAAAGCCCTCGCCTTTGTCGAACAGAAACTGGTTTTCCCCTACACCCACACCCTTTCTGCCCTAATCTTCTTCTTCCTTTACACTCCACTTCCATTTTTATATTTTTATCAAACCCCTCAACCTCTTCACACAATTTCCCCAATTTATATCTCTTTCCAACTTTTCAATTTCAACAACCCCTACAAATTTCGTCGCCTTACTGGATTTCCTCTCTCTCTACCCCACAAAAAGAGAGGGAAAAGTAGATACTCGTATGTTATGTGATGATGATTTTTATATTCATGATGTTATCTCATTCAAAATCTGTTTCAGTAAGCAGATTTTCTTGGTAAAAGTTCCTATTCAACGCAACCAATGATCTCTAATGTGTAGATTCTGTAGATAATCATTATCTTTAGCATTTCCTCTTCAAGATCCCCCCACCATGTCCGACGAGCAACCCTCGTCGCCGATCCATTCCGACGACGAAATCAAGAACAATAACAATGCTACAAACGGCAACAACGTTGTAGTGAGGAGAGAAAGGCCGTCACGTGCATGTACTGCTCGCTCGGCTGCTCGAATTTACGAGGCTGCAGTTGCGGAAGCAGCGGTTGTGTCCACTGTTCGGAAGCAGAAGCCACGGCGGAGACCTCGGCGAGAAGTGGAGGAGGAGGAAGAAGAAGAGGAAGAGCCACCGCCTTCTCCGCCCAATCCGTACAGCGACATCATTACACCGTTGGTTAGTGAGCCCGAGTCGTCACAGTTGCCGCGGTGGGAGATTAGGTCTATGTGGGAGTTGGCCTCAGTTCTTAACTTCTTAAATGTAAAGCTTTAAACAAAAGAAAAAAAAAGAGAGACAATTTTCAAAGAAATAAGCATCAATTCTATTGATGGTGCTGTTATTGCAATGTGAAGTATTATATTCTGGTTTATGATTTGCAGGTTTTCAGGCCTCTTTTGAATATTAAAGTTGAATTCTCGGTGGAGGAGCTGGAAACTGCTCTGATTTCACCGAATAATACATTGGGTGAAGTGCATATTCCTTTATTGAAGGTTGGTATAGCATGCATACAATTGAAAGTTTAAATCTTGCAAACTGCTACTTGTACATTCTACATAAAATCCTTAATTTGCATTTGAATTTCTTGTTAACTTTGAAAACTATATGTTCTGGGCTTTGGAGAAAGAAAAAGATTACTTCTTTTCACAGATAAATGACATTATAGCTTCTTGCTTTTGTGTCTTGGTTTATTTGGTAATTTTTGAGTTGAAGGAGTATATTTACCAAATAATGTGGCAACTGGTTGTAGTTAGAATACAAAAGCATTGCAAACATCATGTGCTACTTAGTATATTATTAATGTTTCTTGTGTGCATTATGAAGGAAAAAGAAAGATCGTTATGATGTGTTTCATATCTTGTAAACATATAGTAGTTTGGCTTCATGTTTCTTCTTTTTTTTTTTTCCCATTAAGTGCTCACTTAGGAAAATTTAAGGAAAAAGTAAATGAGGGGAAATTTGTAAAAGTTAGGACTCATTGGAGAAATTCTAATTTCCCAGACTTAACTCTATTAGCTCATTCTTTATGCACAAATTTCAAAAAAATAAAGAATAAACTCATATTTAGTTTGCCAGATTAATTCATGTCATCATTAAACCTGTTAAACAACACCTTAGTGAGTTGATCAAAGGTGACATATATGGATTTGTTATATGCAGTCATTTTTGGGAGGTTGGTGATGGATAGATGTAATCAAACTTTATTTGAGTAAATGTTGATTGCATCTGTATTGGTTACAAAGACATTCCATTTAAAAGGATGAAAGAGAATGGAAGAATAATGTTTCCTCATCATGTGTTTTGTGTTTTTCATGATAAAGTGGAGGTGACAGGGTGTCAAATAAGCTACTGTCTTTGGTATATTTCAGGAATAATACCCTTTTTTTTTAAATATTTTAATGCATCCCCAAATATCTTTTTGTAAAGGTAGTGCATAGTGCATGCCTACTTGAGATATTTTGATCCATTATCATTCAAGCCTAGGTGCATCCTGTAAACTTGTGCTTCTACACTAGAGAAGTTTTTTAGGTTGCCCTGATAACTTTATTTGGCACTGTAGTTTTTCTACTCGTATGTGGTGCAGTTGAATAGAGGATTTTCAAAAGTAGTAGAAAGGTATATCTTTTAAGCTAAATATAAGATGTGATTAGGTCATGCTTGACTAGATGTAGCCCTTTAGGTGCTGTTTCTTTTTGACTTAATGTGTAAAGGACTTAATCCAGACAGCTATATAGGGCTGTTTCTTTTTGACTGGGTCAAGCCAAAAATGTGAGCTTTATCCATTCAGCAATTCTTCTTTACAAAAATACCCCTCCTCTTTCTTTACCTGTTCAGCCCTGACAAATACATTGAATTGATTAATTTGTGATTAGGTTTAGGTTTCTTGCATATGTATTAGTTATAAACAAAGGGTAAAATGGTGATGGATTTTGTTAATGGTTTAGGGTAAAATATGTGAAGTAGGTTTAGGTTTCTTGAATTTGTGATCCATTTTGTTAATGGTGATGGATTGAAACTACGAACACTTGCATATGTATTATTTATAAAAAAAAGGGTAAAATGGTCATATAGTCTCATTCAGACGGTTTATTCGGTTCAATAAAGAAAAAGACTTCAAAAAAAGAAACAACCCTAAACTTGAAAACTTGAAAAGGAAGGCAAATCTATGCATTAAGACAATTTCTTCTTGTAATGAATGATAGTACATATTCATCTCCTTCCATAAATCCTAACTTTATTATTATTTTAATGTGTTTTCCATTTAGGCAATACCTCCAGTTACTCGAATGGCATTAGGACAAAACACTTGGGTTACTGTTCTATGCCGAAAGCTAAGAGATTGGTGGCATTGGGTACTTTTGTAATTTAAGTCCAGACTCTTTTTATTTTTCCATGTGGCATTTCTAATAAATGACCACAATTTCTTTAACACTTCATTGCAGGTTTCAGAGGGGGAATTGCCTATAGTTGCAACACATGGGTAAAACTCATATTTATCATCATTCATTTAAGCTACTTCCACATGGCCTTTGTTTTCATCACTGATTTTCCAACTTTTTTGTTTTTTAGAGCCGAAATCGATACATACAACACACTTGATCCTTGTGTTCGTGTGGTCATACTAAAAGCCTTATGTGATATTCGTGTCGAGGTAACATTTGCCTTTTCAAACCAACATTGATTGCAAAAAAACAAAATGTAGGTTTTTTCTGTTTGCATATACGTTTTCATAATGAAAATATTAATTCATTTTTTGTTTTTTTCAGCAAGATGATATTCGAAGCTATATAGATGACTCTATAAAACATGGTGTCCCACTTTCTGCATTTCGTAAAGAGCGTACAGGTGGCGATTCTCATGGAGTTTCTTACTGGTATGAAGATGATCCTATCATCGGACAGAGGCTGTATCGTGAAATTAGAAAAGTCGAGGTGAAGAAAGGGAAGGGCAAAAACGTCCAATCCATTCCTTCATACCAATGGGAAACCGTTTCAACTAATTTGGACGAGTTTCAAGACGTTTCTGTAAGTTTCATGATTTCTTTCTTTCCAATATTATCCATCTTCCTTGAAATCATGTTTTTCTTTTGTGGTCAACAGGAGAAACTATTTTCTAGCAAAAACAGAACGGAAGCTTCACTCGGGAAGAAACTAAAGAATGACATGCTTCCCGAGATTGAGAAGGTGCAGAAGGTAATTCACATTCCATTCCGTTCGTTTGTGATTCCGTTCCATTCCAACCAAATTTATTGATTTTTTGTTCTTGTGAAGAGGAAAGAGAAACTGCTAAAGAAACAACACAGACAAGCACTTCTCCTGGATGGTATGATTGTGGATGGACTGGGTCCCGGCCGATCCCTTCGTGGTAGAAAACAAGTCTCCTACACCTTTGGTAAGACTTAATACCAATTTTATATTTTTATTTTTCATACGCATGGCATGGTGTTTTAAATTAATATATTTTTTTAGATGATTATGACCGATCAATCAACGAGGCCATCAAGATAACCAAGTAAGTAATCAACTTTTTTAACTTATATTTTAAATCATATAGTTCTCTCTAAAGCCACGTGTCACATTTCTATTGGTTCATTTTTTTCAGAAGGAAGCAACCTTCTCCGGAACATACTGTAAGAAGAGAAGGTTTGAGACACTCACATGATGCTTCCCAAAACGGTAGATGGGGTCCACCCGCAGCCCCTACACATAATTCCACATTTACCCCTCCATCGCCCGATTCTCTAAACGATGTCGGAAGTGATTCCGATCATAAATCCGAACAACTGGACCGCAGGTAGGTATATTCTTTCGACTTTTCCTTTTCTAAATAAAGTCCATGGCTAAAATCGTCATTTTACATTTTTAGTAACCGGAGGAGAGAGAGGCCTCAACGGTACTCCGCACATGAGTTTGTTGAAGCGGACATGGATACAGATTATGATGAAGAAGACGATGATGATGATGATATAGTTGGTGAAGCTGTGTACGATGAAGAATATTTAAAGAGACGAAAAGAAAGGAGGAAGGTGTCAAGTAGTTCAGAAGGAGATGAAGAGTATCGATGGGATGGTGATAATAATGAGGAAGATGAAGAAGATGAAGATGAAGGAGACGATTCTTTAAATGAAAGTGAAGAAGAAGAAGACAGTGATGATGATAGCCCAAAAAGATACAAGAAATTACCCCGGACCAGGCGAGGAACAAAGTTGAGATCGGTCAATGAATCCAAGTCGGGCCCCAGACGCAGCAGACGCTCCACCCGCAACCGTATCGATTACAAACAATACGAGTTTTCCGATACGGAACCGGAACCGGAATCAGCAAAGCCGGAGACTTCCGAGAGCTCCGATAAACACTCGGAATCCAGCGAAGACAAATCCGGGTTCTCAATGGGAAGCAGTGATGATAATGACACTGAAGGTGAGAACAATGATCATGATCATGATCATGAAGAGATGAAGATAGAGGAACAAGAACCCATGATTCAAGAACATGAAAAGATCCAACACCAACAGGAAGAGGAAGAACCCATCAAGTTAGATAGTCCGGTTGAAGATGAATTTGAGAATGGTGCTAGAAAAAGAAGGTTTCTTGATTTAAATGAGCTTGCACCAGGTTCTGGTTTTGAAGATGGTTCCATTAAGGATGATGATACAGATAACTTCTAGATTTGTGAGTCAATTTTTAAGCAACTCGGTGAGTCAAACTCATTTTTCAGTCGGTGTAATGTTTAGTAAGAATCGTCATAACTTATAATATAGACCATCTCTCAGGATTTCAGTTGTAGAAGCTAAATTGTACCATTTGTTGTGCTTAAAATATCAACCCCAAAAGCTACTAATTTCTTATTTCCTACATTTTGTATGGAAAAAATTTGATTCTGTATGTGTCTACTGTAAGTTACAAAGACCCTAGCTATGGTCATCTCATGTTACAACATTCTGGTCGTCCAAGAAGCTGTAATTTGTTCCACAAGCATAGCATTTGTCTTGGAGATTGATAATGTGCTGTATAATAATCTTCGATGCAACCAAACTGGCAATACTTCAAACTATGAACGTAATCAACCGGATTCTTTTTGTTGAATTGCTCAACCCACATTCCCATGCTCACATCTTCCATCTTAAACAACTGTTTCCAAAACCAAACCATGGTTAATTTAGTTCAACCCACTTAAAACACATGTCAACAACAAGAACCAAAGTTGGACCTCACCTTCAATTTATGCTTCTCGAATTCCGATGCTATGAACTCGGCAATATCCGATGATATAACATAGCCCGGACCGTTTGCGTATGGTGGATAATCTTCTCCCGGCCATTCCTGTATACAAAATTATTGACATCAGTGTCGGTGTCTTCTTCTGACATCCAATACAGTACAAGATGTACCTCATATGTTACGGCCCATTTCCCATAGCGTAAAGGTTGATGATAGTAATTGATGTTTCCCACATATATGCTTTTGCCATCGCTTACTTTGTTTGCCTCGTTTAAAACAATGTCGACTCTAACAAACGTGTCATCATCACATTTCATGATATACTTTGCGGAAGCCGTATGAACCTAAATCAAATCATGCTACAAAAAGTTAGTACCCTTTGTATAAAGATTCCATCTTTTGTGATTCAAAACTCACACCGTATTCGCATATTGCAACGGTTTTCAAAACAACGAGGTCGTAATGATCCATGTAAGGTACAATGACGATATCGCCAAAGAAGTCGGCTTCTTTCTTTAACTCGACATTCACTGCCTTTCTTGCGTGCTGTACATGTTATATAAGGTCAAAATAGTAATTTTACACATTGTGGCGTAAATTGTTAATGTCATTTACTTACGAGTGCCACAAAGAAACGAGCAACGACATGAGAAGACTTGATGAGATCATGTTGCATCCATGACTTCCTAACCGCCATTCGCTCGGCGAAATGATTTCCTGATGAAAGAATTCCAATAAACAGATCGATGGGCCCGCTTGGATGAGGTGGTGCCTTCCATTTTTGGGACATCTCAAGGTGTTTTTGGGGCGTGAAACTTGGATGTGCAGAAGGAAGAGAGGCAGCAAGTATTATGTGGACATCAATGTCACCTTTCAAAGCCAAACCCGTAGCATCCTCCAATGCAAATCCCTATGTCAATAGGAGACTGCATTTGTTACATGGGACAAGACAGTCTTGATAAGACAATACAAAACATGTTTGGACAAGGCTATACCGAACAATCTTTCTAGGACTATTTTAAATAACTTATGATGAGAGCATTCATGTCTTTTGCATGAGCATCGAGCCCTTATTCTATCTTTTTTTTTTGTCCAATTACAATCTCGGTCTAAGTCTAATACATACCAAATATAACATGTGTTGATGCACTTACTGTTCGATAAGGAAATGAAGTGATGTGTCTGCCATCAACATTGACATGATAACCCTCTAAACCCGCGCTAAGAGTGAGGACAAATAGCTTCCCTTCAACAAAGGGAAAGGGCCAGTCAAAAGCCACCTTGGTTCGGCCTATCACTCTCTTCAACCACCAACTTGCTTTTGAATCTTCGAGGTGACCATCATCATCACGAACCCACTTCTCGCATTTCACCTTACCATCAACTAAAAAGAAACATGGAATAACAGGAAACCTTTTTATTTTCAAAATTCGATTATTTTGGTCTTAAATTATCATAAATCACGACTTCATGTCATAGTAACAAGTTTAGATGCATGCATAGTAAATAATAGTCAATGTCATGTCAACGGTACCACATAAACAAAGGTTCTTTCCAAAGAAGAAAATGACACCAAGAGGTCCATTTTCATTAAATTCACTCATAAATACCATCAAAACACTTGCTACCTTCATCCTAAGTTTCTTTTTTATGATGCTACGAAATAACTATACCTTTTACTTTAGTGAAGTTTCTATACACGATCAAAAAACATGATATAATTTAAGTTTTTCAATGAGATTATCCTATTTCTTAACCTAATATTTCAATCGAACTTTGGGACCAAAGGAGCATTAAGGTTGAAGCCAACATCAAAAAATAAAGTTCATTTGCTAGTGGACCATTAAATTGAAAAGCTACTTGTGGACCATTGAAATGACACCGGCTTTTGAAATATATTCTATTATTATTACTGGATGGGCAAAAGCATTTTTTAGGTAAAAAGGAAACGAATTGTATGATTTACAAATCATCCACGTGTATATATCTCCTAAAATTGTCTTATTTTAAATTATTATTAGATCAATTTTAGTAACAGTTTATACTCATAAGTTGTATATTACTAATGAAATCAAAACAAAAAGGTGAACTTTAGTCGATTCAAATGGACTCTTTTGGCAATTCTTATAAATTAAAAAAAAATTATTTTGACATGTCACCAAACATGCTTGACACGTGGACGCACACGTTGACATGACTAGACAACTTGTAGAAATTTATCAAATGACAATTCATTCATTCATGGGAACAGAGTTTCTAAGCATTGGCCTACTTCTAAATAAAAGCTCCATAGTTCATACATTTTGGTGTTGTTTTCTTCTTTTAATATAATTTAACAATCTTAATGAAGATAATATTTAAATATTTAATTCGACATATAAGATTATAACTCTTAATTAAATATGTGACTTACCAGTCTCTTCTTCAACCCTAGACTTCCATCCCTCGCATCGATGAGCAATTCCCCATTGCATTCTGTAACAAGTGTTCTGTTCAATCACAGGTTTTCCACTCCAATCACCCTTCAATCGAGGATTAAAATGCAAAATTCTTGGTGGGTCTTCCCCATCAACAGTTTTCAAACCCTGCAACTCCATCATAAACTGTGAAACCTCACCCTGTTTCAACAATGAGATCTTTGGGTCTAGTTCAAAATGAGCCTTTCTAGGTTTCCCGACAAGAGTTATATGTGAACCCAATGTCATCCCACAAGGAAGCACGATAATGTTTCCCTTGTTTTGGAAACCAGAACCTGATAGCGTAATCGAACCAGGGCAAGTCTCCATAGTTTGGTTTTTGATACCTTCTGTTATGTTGTTTTTCGATGGTGATTCAACTTCTTCCCAGAAACTCTTCCCTACGAGAAAAGCTTCTTTTGCAGATGTTTGAATTCCCCCAAATCCAGGTGTAGTGTTTACAAAGTCGACGTCAAATTTCAAGTTTGATAAAGCTTTGAATTCGCGGATTTTTCCAACACGCCTAGGATTTGATGGAGCATAATGGGGGACTTTCAGAGGTCGAATTGGGGATTCTTCTTCACTGTCTAAGACTAACGATTCCTTAGACAATCCGTCGGTGAAGAACAAGGTATTTCTAGAACTTTGTTCTGCATCTTTTTCTTGAGTAACTGATTTCAACAGGAAGGGTACTTCGAAATTGACCATGAGCAGCAGATACAAAATCCCTACGCCGATCAGAAATTGAATCCATCTTTTCTGTCTGAAAGACATGAACCCGTCTAATTTAGTCCGTTTCATGGTTAATCTCTTTAATTATCCAACTAAACAAGAACAAGAACAAGAACAGACTCAGAAGTCGGAAAAAAAAAACCAACCGTGGTGTGAATTATCGTGGATCATGAGAAGGAAACAAGTTCCGATTGATTTTGTATAGCTCTTGGCTCTCAGAATTGAACATGAAACATCAGACACGTTTGGAGAGAGTGTTGCAGAGAGAGACGAAGGGTTATGCGGTGGAAGGGGAGGTAGAGTTTTACATGGAGACGTGGAACTTGGAAGTGTGTATAGAAAAAGAAGCTTTCGCAGGCGGTGGCCGGTGGCCTCTACCTGAAACCAAACAGAAATTGAAATAATTATCCAAAAATTCAAATTATGTGTACAAGTTAATCTTTTATATCATAGTTATCTATCACACTGACAACTCTAATATGATAGAGTCGTTAAAATTAAACTTTTGATTTTAGTACTTATTCTCAATTAAAAGATCATATTTTGTTCTGATGTAGCATATTATATTTATTTTAGACTTTAACAAAATAATCTTATAGTAATCATGAATAAGAATAACCACAATAATTGCGAATAAGCCTGCGAATTCGCGGTAACATTTTTTCATATACCGATAAACTTAACTTTTGTGAATAATAGCGTTTTTTTTTTCCAAAATATATACAAGTACAATACATTTGTAATATATGATTTCAAGCATAAGGGAAGTCCGAAACCTAAACAAGTCCCATGAAACTAGTAAACACTAGTTTTTCCATCAAGCGTACACTAACGTACCTTGAGGGTAGAACTTTTCACCCCTCAATCTCCGAAGACCGCCACCTTGTTTTAAAGCTTGTTCCTAAGAACTATCCATTGGTTTTGAAACGTTCCATTAACTAAACAACTATTTGTTGTTACGTGATTTTAGTGTCCCCATAGCATTTTGTGTAATTGGAACCTACATGTGAGCTAAAGGACTTCGTAATTTGTACTTTAATATATTTTTGAGTATGTGCGGAGTATACACATGCATAAGATCGAATTGGAAGCCGATTCGACGACAAGTCGGGCGTCTGGGGAAGCACCCCCATGTTCGGGGTTTCTAAAGAGGCAGGGGGGACCTAGGGTGACACCGACAACCCCCTGACTTTTCTGGCCGCAGTGGAAAAATTTTCGAAAAATTTATTTTTTTTACTACCGTGCAACCCCTGACTTTCCCGTACAACCCCTACTGTGAAATCCTGTGTCCGCCTCTGTAAAGGGGCAGCGTCCCTAGCGGGGTCCAAGGGGCAGAGCCCCTAGCTGGGTAAAACTAACTAAGATCGTCAGTTTTAGAAACCATTGATTTCCTCATTAATTCCGCATTCTCTTAACTTGTTTCTAAAGGAACCCATGACGACCAACCCTAAGACGAAACCATACATATCATTTTCTATATAAAAACGACTCTCCTTTTAAGGAGAAGATATCACTTTTTAGCTCTCGTTTTTCTTAATACGAACTCAGAATTCTCTAGCAATTTGGCTTACGTTTTTTCGTGCCTAGATTCGTAAGTATCCCCATGCGATTATCCTCGGCTGAATTTCTTGTAACCCGGACATAAGGTAGAAATATCAATTTGAAAAAGTGTTTACACGATCCAAGGGGTATGAAGATCTCCACTATAAACCCTACCCAATTTCTAACACTATTTTGTGAAGGAAGATACCATCCCAATAGTTTCTTAAATGGAGTCTAGAGAGTAATATAATCCTTAGCGATGCAATTTATACTTTATGATGCACAATCCAAGTAAATTTTTTTCTTTCCAACGACATTTATTCACAAACAAGTGTCTTATGCAATATATGTAAAGCAATGGAGTAAAGTCATAATCTTTACCATTAACAAATCAAACATATTTCATTTTATAAACATAATTAATAACACATAAAATACTCTAGCATATGTCTTATGTTGGTTAAAACATCACCAAGTTATTGTAAAAACATTTGAATTCACTAAATGGAAGCTACAAGGCACATAAGTACTAAAAGTTTGGATATGTAAATGGGTCAAATTGTCGCTTAAAAGCTGAAAGTGAACACCCTCTCAATAATAGGATATATACCCGAACTCTCTCTCTCTATCTTGCTCTCTCTCTCTCTATATATATATATATATATATATATATATATATATATATATATATATATATATATATATCCCGGTGACCGAACCATATATATAAATCCCGATAGCAAAGCGAAGCGCTGCCGAAATCGCCAGTCACCCACATTTATCAAGTGAGTGCATAGTTATTTTCAGCTTACACATAAATATGAAGTATCTATTAAATGCTATATGTGTTTGTTATCTGTGTACTTGGTATTTGTGTTATAATATGATACGATTTTATTTATATAAAATACTTTATCATATTGGGTAGTAAAAGGTTTTTGGAAAAAAATAGAATAACGGGTTGGGTAGGGTTTTTGGGAAAATAAAATAATGGTGAGGGGTCACACATTTTATTACCGGGGCCAGTCATCTAACAAAGTATATGTGGCGACCACTAACTATTCTAGGTAGTGCGGTGGAACACCAGAATTGAAGGTGGTGTTAATGATCATACTTTTCAGGAAAAAAGGAAAGTTGTTCATTCGGGTACTCTACCCATCCCCCCAGGGTTGCCTTATCGACATATATTGCTACGGGATCCCCAAAGTAGTATTGTCTACTGACATAGAATCTTAGGATATGTCTCTTGGGTTTAGCATTTAAGGTCAGAGAGTGAGAATAACAAAAATGGATAACTGGGATTATTTGTTTAGGTGCAAAATATATATAATACAATATTGTGGATTGAAAACCCTATGTGCTCACCAGGTTTCCCAACCTAAACCACCCAATTTCTTTGTATCACATGTAAGGGTTTGAAGGTACATTATGCTGAGAGATTCAAGGAGTTTTAGGCCCTTAGTATAAGTTAATGTAAGGTCTGTAATATTTTTGTTATGCTTATGTTTCTGTATTGACGATGACATCCCGAAGTTATTAATGAAACACATTTCTTTGGAAATGTTTGGTAATAATATATTATCACTTTATTGGGAACAAATTCCGCATTATAATTATTTAAAAAGGATACTCTGAAATGAAATAAGAAAATTTAAATCGGTCTTTTCTGGTTGTGAAAATTGAGGATGTCATAGTTGGTATCAGAGCATTAGATAAAGCGGACTTGGAATTTTAGGGATTTTGTAGACTTAAACTTAGAATCCTAGGCAATGATTGTGAGGAGTCTATTTATTATATTTAGGTAGTTTACCTAAACTAACACAAGCACTAGAATACTTTAGGATAAATTCCTAAATTACTATCATATGCTAAATGACTTATGTTATAACATGCTTTAGGATACCTGCCTAGGATGCTATTAATAGAATGGATCTTAAGTTAGTTGCCGTCCAGATCTAGAAAAATTATGCGTTCAAAAAATATAAATAATAGAACTGACATGAAATTTTTGGGAATGATGTGGAGGATGTAAGCGTCAAAACATAACTAAAACCTCCCTTATCATAATAAAATCGCCTCTCGGTACACTAAACACATGCTTTGGTGTAGAGAACGTCATAGTGATCACAAGGAGCAGAAGTGTCGTCAATAATGAAGGAGGTCAACTCCTAGGCATAAAAAATCAAATAATAATAACCAATTTCCCCGACAACGACACCAAAACTTGGTGGGATGTCAAGTCCACCAAGCGAATTACACCCTTTGTTTGCAAATAAAACGTAATATAATGGTAAAAAAGGGGTATCGATCCTCGAGGAAATGGTTGTATTCAGTCACCAATGCAATCCAATAGAACTAGTGTAATAAAACTAACTAACTATAATTAAACTAAAGAGGGGGGGGGGGGGGGGTTGTGATTGCTTGAAAAATAAAAGACTGTAACACCTGTTCCAAGTATTATTTAATTTATCTAATTTTTAGGGTTTTGTGCATGGACTCGGCGAGTTGGGGAGCTCCAACTCATCGAGTAGAGATCGTTAGGAGGACACGGATTTTAAATCCTAATCGACGAGTCGGAAGGCCCCGACTCGACGAGTAGGCGCTGTAAAGGAAAACCCTAATTTTTAGGGTTTTCACCCTATTTAAAGAACATAATCCGCCTCTTGTGGCCTCCCTTACCACTTCATTAGCCAGAGAAAACCCTAGTTGAACCTTGCACCTTCTTGAGTGAGAGAGAGAGAGAGAGAGAGAGCTTTTGTGAGTAATTTTGGTGTGGTTGTGAAGGATTTTGGAGCTTGAAGAAGAACGAGCAAGGAGAGAAGCAGTAGATCCGACATCTACTATGTATTGGCAACCATCTTGAGACAGTTGAGTTGGAGTCGTGCGTGGGAATTATCCGATCTTAGCTTGTCAGTTCAACATTCGAGAGGTGAGTCTCCTCACCATACCAATGGTTCTAAGGCACCAAGGCCGACCCATTATTTGTATGTGACATGCTAGTTGGTTATGTGATATGTGTATGCTAGTTGAGATTGTAGTACTTGCATGAAAGACCTCGGGGGGTTCCCGAGGCACTTGGGTGTAAGACCTTGGAGGGTTTTCATGGCATCCTTAGCAAAGACCTCGGGGGGTTCCCGATGCACTTGGGTGTAAGACCTTGGAGGGTTTCCATGGCATCCCTGGGCTAAGACCATGTGGGGGTTCCCATGGCTCCCAGAGTAAGACCCTGGAGGGTTTTCAGGGCATCCTGATATGTTTGCATGTCTGGTTTGTATGGTAGTGGGCTAAGACCATGTGGGGGGCACCCGGAGTAAGACCCTGGAGAGTTTCCAGGGCATCCCTATATGTTGTATGCATGGCTTATGTGGTATATGTAGCTTTTGTAGCTAATACGATATGTGTTTATGTGGATTGTGTGTGGGGTATGCTCTGGGGAACTCACTAAGCATTAGCTTACAGTTTGTGGATTTGTTTCAGGTACATCTGACCCTAAGGGTAAGGGCAAGGCTTGATGACGCGGCGTGCACTCTCTCTCAGGTGTTTTATGGGACACTATGATGATTTGAAATAAAATTGTATTTGATATGAATTTTGAAAACAATTGTATTTTGGGATTTCATGGTTTGTGGAAAGTATTTTGGTTAAACAAAAATGAAAATTTTCTTTTGAAAATTGGGTCGTTACAAGTTGGTATCAAAGCCTTGGTTTGAAGGATTCGGGCACACTCTCGGGTGTGTCGGGACTCAAACTAAGGAAATGGTAAAAATTGTTTTAAAAAAAAATTTAAAACTTTTAAAGAATGGAAAAGAGGAGAGTGCAACGCGCGTGATCGGCTGAGCCAAGTAAGTAGTTCCCCAATATGTTAGGCATGTTATACTGATATTTGAGTATGATAATCGTATGGATCTTGCTATGTGTATGCTTTTAATATTGTATACGGTTAGGAGATTATAGCCTTAGAATGATTGATTTGGCCTTATTTCCCGTTCCTCGTTTG